TTGAACAAAATAAGAGCTGAACTGCATTTGAGGGGGGAGGTGATTTCAGACCAAACAATGAAAAGTGTCATTATCAACTCACTTGATCCATCATGGGACAATTTTATGTCACATTTAGACACAATCAATCTAGGGTATTTATCCATAGAAAGTCTATCTAACAAATTGATAACAGAAGATAATTCTAGAAGGAATCGTTCTAACAATCACACAGAACATAAACCATATAGGAAAGTAGCTTTCCAAGAAAAATATAGTGGAACATTTAAATGTCATAATTGTGGATCCAGGGAACACAATAGAAGAGATTGTCCAAAATTCTTAAAAGAAAGATATAGATCAGAATACAGAAACAAATACGATTATAGACACGCCTTCCATAGAAAGGCATAGATATAGGAGCCCACCAAATCACAGAGAGAATAGAGGGGGCAGAGACAATTCAAAGGATAGAAAGTCTGGTTCACTGAATGGATTAAATAAACAAGACAACACTAACACACAACAAAGTGAGAACAATAATTGGCTTATTGATTCTGGAGCAACTAATCACACCACTAATAACAAAAGTATATTGTCTTCATTTGCAGAAGATAAATTTGTAATTAAGGTAGCTAACCAAGAAAAGGTTCAAGTATTAGGTAGAGGAAATGTAACCTTGCCTGGTTTAGGAAAAATAGAGGGGTATTACTAATACCTGAAATACCTCATAACATATTAAGTGCCATAAAACTAAGTAGAGATTCTGACATTAACATTGTCTTTTCAAACCTTCCTTCCTTCCTTCCTTCCTTCCTTCCTTCCTTCCTTCCTTCCTTCCTTCCTTTTCATTTTTTCTCTCTCTTGATATTTCATTGGGAGAGAATGAAATGCTCTCTTAAATAGTTTAGATCTTCAGATGAATCAAATTTAGAAGTCCTTGAGAACATTTCATTTTCTTCAAATGAACTGAATTTAGGAGTTCTTTTTCCCTTGACATAGGTAGAGTTTCACATAACTATAACTATATTTTTATTCCTTGCTAAAAGTAATTAATTTCTAAATCCCCATCTAAAGTTATTTGAATGTACTCTGTGTGTGTTTATTTAAAAAGTGCTAGCATAAAAAGAACTAAGAATTTAATTTAATTTTTTTTAAATGCCCATAAAAACTGATATTTTAGCACCAATGAGAATAGATAATATATCAAATTATGTTCATTATTATCCCTTGTGTATTTATGTGAGCAGAAAAGGAAGCTAAATTTGTAATTGTGCAATGGGGATGGGCGGATGGATCTATAATGTCTGTCTATTTGTCTATCTGTCTTTCTGATTGCCTGCCTGCCTGCCCGCCCATCCATCCATCCATCCATCCATCCATCCATCCTACTTATTAATTACATTTATATCTCTCATTTTGTCTACAAGCTCCAAGTGTCACATTGCCTTCTTTGGTTTTAGTTTTGGATTTTTTTTTTGACAAGAACCCTATGAGCTACATTTGTCTGAGAAACCATGTGACTAGTATATAGTCACCCCATGAGCTTGCTTAGTTGATTGATAAATTTAATCTGGGTATCCCTATATCTAGTCTAAATCTTAATCACTTTACCACACTAGATCTCCTAATGTCTTACTCAGAATATTACAATAAATAAAGTAGCAAATAAATTACTATTTTTTTAAATAAACCATTACAGCATTGTGGGTATATTTATGACTGCAGCAATAATTAGAAAAGTGATGAATGAAAATGCAAATATATTTATCTATAACCAGCAGCAGGATTAGTTTGAATATCTATGACAAAACAGTAACAAGATACATGGTAGGTTGAAGTCCTTTACATCAGATGCAGTTAATCTAAAATAATTTTGTTAAATATATATATTTTATCAAAGGAAATGTATTTTTTAGATTACAGTTTTAATCTGATTGATATAATTCAAAGATGGGCAAATACTCTGAAGTATTTATTGTAACACAGTTGTTAATCAAATTGTAATTTTGTGGTTCTTATGTTTTCCAAAACAAAATGAAGACAAGTAATGCTGGCATTCTCTTAATACTATCTAGATATAATATTAGTAGCCGAGGTGTATGTACCTAAAGATAGAACATTGGGGACAGAGGACTGAATTCCTGTTTCTGCATGAAATGATTATGTAATCATTTCATAAATCATGCCAGCTAATAGAATTTTAGAATAAAATTACTATGCTAAAAGCATAGTAATTTACCCCCTGATTTTCAGTTGCTCAAAAAATTCAAAGAAATGTACAATACCATGTTGCTAGACAAATCTTAAGAAGTCACAGACAAAATTCCTTAGATGAAAAATTAATCCTACCTGATCAGATGCTCAACATTAAATAAATTCATTGATAGGGTGTCCTACCCTAATGGCAATCCTAGTAAAATGCAGATCTATGTCATTCAATAGATTCTCAACGTATTGTTAGAAATTTAAATCGATGGACATACATATTTAATTATTTTACTATGTTTTTGTTTCTTCCTGAAATCTTCCTAAGGAATCCTATCGTGTTCATTGGAGAGAAATCAGTAGCAAAATGGAAACAAAGAATCATACTAATCTTAAAGAATTCATTCTTTGGGGGCTAACAGATGACCCTAAACTTCAGATCATGTTCTTTGCTGCTGGTCTATTGATCTACATTGTCACTTTAACAGGGAATTTGATCATAATTATTTTGATAAAGATTGACCAGCACCTCCATATTCCCATGTACTTCTTACTGAGTAATCTGTCCTGTACAGAAATCTGTTACATCACCACCACCATGCCAAAGATGTTGTGGGACCTCCTCTCAGAGACCAAGTCCATTTCCTTTACTGGTTGCTTTCTCCAAATGTACTTCTTTCTGACTACTGCTGCCACAGAAGGTGCCCTCCTTTCTGTCATGGCATATGATCGTTATGCAGCCATCTGCCAGCCATTGCGCTACACTTTACTCATGAGTCAGCCTCTCTGCCAGTGTCTGGTGACATGCTCGTGGGCCATTGGAAATCTTAATGCCATTACCAATACTGCCTTTGTTTTCTCCCTGAACTTTTGTAGTTCCAATATAATAGTGCATTTCTTTTGTGACATACCACCTCTTCTGCGTTTATCCTGTTCTGATATTTCCCTTGCTAAGCTGGTGACATTCATTATCTCAGGAAGCATTATGGTAACCACTGTCTCCTTCATTGTCCTCTCCTACTTTTTTATAGTCTCTGCAGTGCTCAAAATCCAGACAACTCAAGGCAAAATCAAAACATTCTCCACTTGTGCCTCCCACCTTACTGTAGTTAGCCTCTTCTACAGCACTGCTATCTTTACTTATATGCGTCCATCCTCTGGTCACTCAGTAGAACAAGACTGTTTAATCTCTCTGATGTATACAGTACTCACTCCTTTGCTGAACCCTCTGATCTACAGCTTCAGAAATAAGGAAATGCAAGCAGCATTTTTGAATGTGCTTGGAAAGAAATAAATTTTTCACCTCTAAAAGTTCTTGCAGCAATCAAAGAAATTGATGTAATCCATTGTAAAATGTCCATGAATACATTGATAACAGAGAGCTTGACTGCTTGTTCTCCTTTCCCACCTATATCTTTCTAAATCAGTTTCTGAGAGTAAAAGATAATTAGAATTTTGATGTATATTAATAGATACAATAGGAAGAGCAGGAAAGGAATATTGGTTTTTCAAGTGTCAGTATGTATATTCCCATAAAACTGGTAATTACTTCCACTCCTATTTCTTAATGAACTTGTCAGATGTAAATGCCTTATTCTCCAATGTGTAAATAGTGTACAGACAGGGTATCAGGGGTTAACTTATTCTTCACTTCTTAATGTATTCATAATTCACCACTCCCACATATAGCTCCACCCATTGTATATATAAGGAGCTACCTACACCATTTCCCTTGCTTCTATCTGTGAATATTCAGTGAATATAGAATGCCTAATGTAAATAAATGAATATATAGTTAAATCTTTAACTCTTGTTGATCTTATTGAGTCTGATCCTGAAAATATTGCAACAGAACTATCTGCTGCACTATACTGTATGAATGATGCAATGGAAATAAATAAAATTTGAATGAAAATGAAAAAAAAAGTCAAAAGCGAAACTTAAAAAAAACACTTATATCTAGAAGTCTCAGCCTTAGGCCTCTGTTTAAATGTAAAATTTCCAGAACAGTTTAACTTCTGGAAGGATGCAATGATATAATGCATGCCTGTATTAGCAATACATTATAACATTGACAGCTTTTTGGTGCAGAAATCCTCATGATAGTGCCAGAATCATAATTCTAATTCAGTGGTATCCACAAGAAAAATAAAAAAAGGCTTGGTGATAGAAAAGTCTTGAAATCAGTAGTGATTAATGCTTCAAGTAACTGTGAAATATGAATGAGATAAAATTATTAATAGTCAATGTATATGATGATGGTGATCATGATGAAAGTCATGGTAATTCTGCATGCCATACAATCAAATAATACTTTTCTTGCATACATTAGTGGAGTTCGCTTTCATCTCAAGCCTCCAAGTGGGCTTGAATAAAAATCATTCTTAGATAATGCAGGATCCTTATATTTCATTACTCCAACACCGTCCTTTACATATTGAATTACAAAGCTATAATCACATTTCTCAGCTTCCCACATATGCTATTAGAGAAGATTACTTTGTATACAATGCTACTACTCCTTATTTGTCTTAGAGACATACTTCTAACTCTATTCATTTGACATTAGGAATGAAAGGTCTACTGCTGCTTGCCAGGAAAGAGAAATTGTGCTTCCTCAGCATCCATATAAGTAGCCCTTAAATTATGACCAGTTGCTTAGCAACCATTCAAAGTGATGACAGATCTACTTTTGTGCAAATTATGACCCAGTTTCAAAGTTCTGATGATTGAGGGCCCTCTGTAGTCATATGACTGAAATTCAGGTGCTCGGCAACACAGCTGCATTTACAGAGTTTTGTGGTATCCCATAATAATTTTACCACATTTTACAACAGTTTTATTGAAAGCCAGCACTTACTTCCAGTTTTTGGCAAAACTGCACAATAGTGATCAATGAGTTCACTTAACAACTGCAGTGGTCACCTAACAATAACAATGATCACCTTGCTTTTCACTTTACGACCATGGCATTTACTTTGTGAGCATGGTGTCCACTTAATACCTGCCACAAATTTTTCACTACCATAAAATTGGATTAGTTGTGTGTTTTACAACCATCATGATTTAACAACTGCAATAGACAGACTGTGTCATGATCATATTTCACTGGCTACCTGTAGTAGAGTTCGGATGGTTTTTGGTGTTTGATGAATGATAGTCGTAGGCTGGGAGAGATTCTAGAGGAAAGAAAAGAAGGAAGGAAAAGAGTGAACATAGAAGACTGAACATTTTGTTTGGTTTTTGCTTATTTAAATTTTGAAGACCAGATATGCTACCTCTATTCCAACTTGAAATGAAGGTATGATCTAGAGCTAAGAGTCTGATTATGCTTTCTATCTGATGGTGGCAGAATTATCATTGTGTTAGACTGATGGTATGCATTGATCAAGAACAGCACTATGAATTGTGTACCATCCAAACATGAGAACTGGTTATGGTTACTGTATATTCTGATACCTTCTGTTTGGATATGAGAACCTGGACCATGCATATTCAGGATGATCTAATAAATTGAAGGAGAAAGACCAGCTTCATGCTCATATAGTCTGCAATGAAACTGACTGATCTATGTGCTTTCACTCTAATTCCATCTGGTGAAGGAAAAACTGATCAATGTGCCTTCTACCCATTTAGAAATATCTGTTCTGCTCATTTACTTAATATACACATATAAATCTGTATTATATGTACCACATGGCTGAAAAAAATCTACATATAAAATCCATTTTGATCCCAATCTTAATTTAGTCTTCTAAAGAAAGCAGATGCTAGGATTAAAATTTAACTATCCGTCTTGGAAATATAATATGGTATATAATGTACATTTTAGAAATCTCAACTATTTATAAGATGTCCTTATGCTTAATTTCAATATTAGAATAAATTTAGTAAACAAAATCAGCAAAACAATGATTGAATACTCTCAGTTTCTCATGTGGAAATCTTCATTGACTCATTCATTCAAATCCTGGGATGGGTAATTCAGTTGTGGCTTAGTCCAGCATCAATGCAACAATATTCTTAAAATTTGGGAAATGATATCCTTTGGAGATAGACCCTCATTTTTTTCCTGATGTCCACTGGGTTATTTATTATCTGCATTCAGATATAACTAAGTATTACTGCCCATGTATATACATTGTTGGAGCTGAATCATTCTTCTGGCCAAACTCTGAGATCTGGATTACCACTGAATATCAGAAAAGGTATATAAATGTCATTTTCTAGAAATGATCTACTATAGTGTTTAAATTGAGATAAAATATTGAAAATCTATTATAATATTTTCACTCAATATGGTGAATATATCTCCTGCCTCCTATTTTTCCCACAACAACCCAGTGAAATATAATCTTACTTCACTTCAATTCTTGGTTGTAAAATTCAAATGATCAGAGATGGTACAATATAAATTTTGACTGTAATTAATTATGGGGAGGATAAATCCTGTTTCTACTCCTCTTTTTATAAAAGACAAAATAATTGAAAACTTATCTAGATCTAACTCAAACTCTGTAATTACATCAAAGCAGTAATTGCAACACAAGAATGCAATGTTTTGTAAAAATGATAAATCCATGTCATCTTTTAAAGTATGATTTCTATTAATATTGGAATTGAATAAAATGTAAAACTTCAGAAAACAGACCTGGAAACCATTATATAATATGAGGCCCTACCAGCCTTCTTGATCATCTTGTCTGATGTACTTTCTATAAAACCACATAACCATATATTAGTCTAAGTCTTCACTTAAATTGTGTTAATGAACTGCTAGTTCAGCTTGGCTTGTAATGAAGCCATCTGCATGGAGACAACAGACTTCCCTTTATGATGTCATGCTGATGTTATCCATCTTAGTATGAGTTGTATAGCTAATACTGGTAAGTCTAAAAGTTTTGTAAGTGCAAATGCTCTAAAAGTTTTGAATATACACTAGTGAGTTGTTTTTTTCCATTCTTTGTTTTCACTAAGAAACAAGGATAACAAAATTTATGGCTTTTTTTAAAATGGTAATTACTTAATGTAGCCCCAGGGAAACTGACTATGAAAAACAACTGCAGCATAATTATAGATATAAATGCAAACAAAAGGAAATTCTAAGTGAGGCATGAAGGATAGTGTGAAAAAAAAAAAGGAAAGTTGAGTACTTAATATATTTTATAATAGTTTTGACATCTCTCTTAGAAGTAGGTCACACTGAATTCAATGGGATTTAATGCAAGGTAAGCACTGCATGAGATTAACTTCATTCATACTTGAATGATTCATTGTTAAAAAGCTAAAAAACTATCTTAATTTTCAGTTTTTATTTTTCCAAAATGTTACTTTTAATTTTCCTTTCAATATATTTTTAATGTAACCTCAGTGGAAAGAGCTCAAAGTAAACAAAAAAAGACTTCATTTCAGAAGCTTTCTCAAGTTTATTTATTTATTTATTTATTTATTTATTTGTTTAAATTTCTATACCGCCCTTCTCCAATGTAGGACTCAGGGCGGTGAACAGCCAAAGTAAAAACAAGACATACATACAAAACATACAAAATCTAAAATCTGTTTAAAATAATTAAATAATTTTGGCCGTAATTAAAACATTCCAATTTAAAATCCGTTTAAAATTTGACTCAAGCCAGCCCAGCTAGTTGAAATAAATGGGTTTTTAGGGCCCGACGAAAAATCCGGAGGTCTGTTATTGTACGTAGCTCTGGGGGGAGGTTGTTCCAGAGGGTGGGCGCCGCCACAGAGAAGGCTCTCCCCCTGGGGGTCGCCAGCCGACATTGTCTGGCGGACGGCACCCTGAGGAGGCCCACTCTGTGGGAGCGTACTGGCCGGTGGGAGGCTATTGGTGGCAGAAGGCGGTCTCGTAAGTACCCCGGCCCTAAGCCATGGAGCGCTTTAAAGGTGGTCACCAACACCTTGAAGCGCACCCGGAAGACCACCGGGAGCCAGTGCAGCTCGCGCAGGAGAGGTGTCACGTGGGAGCGCCTCGTCGCCCCCAAAATCCCCCGCGCGGCCGCGTTCTGGACCAGCTGGAGCCTCCGGGTGCACCCCAGGGGGAGCCCCATGTAGAGAGCGTTGCAGTAGTCCAGGCGGGAAGTGACGAGTGCCTGAGTGACTGTGCGTAGGGAGTCCCGATCTAGAAAGGGGCGCAACTGGCGTATCAGGCGGACCTGATAAAAAGCCCCCCTGGCCACGGCCGCCAAATGATCTTCTAACGACAGCCGTGCGTCCAGGAGGACGCCCAAGTTACGAGCCCTCTCCGTGGGGGCGAGTGATTCGCCCCCAAGTGAACAAGATTTTCACTAATTACTCCATGGAAGGGCAGAAAGAAATAACATTATCTCAGACAATTGAAAGCAAAAAAGATTGACTGCTTTCAGTTTGTATGATCAATCTACTTTCTTTCAGAGGAAACAAATAGAAGTTTGCAATGTAAAATACAGAAAATAAAATATTCCCAGATCTATTTTTGATTTAGAAAAATCTGTACAGGTTACAGTCATTAAATAAAGATGGCACAGCACAGTAGATTTCAACCTTTTTGATCTTGAACTGATCTTTAATTCGAGTATGCATCTGAGAATCTACTTCTTAATATTTCATCCATCAATATGAAGGTGAAATGTTAATTACAATATGTGTTAGATAAAGTCCAGATCACAACTTAGTAATGTGCTGTCAAACCGTGAGCTGTAAACTAATCTATCAATGATAGGCAATAACAAGTAGAAAGGGTGTTATAAGAATATATTGAGTAGAATTCCATTTATGGAAAATGGATCAGAAATGAAGATCTAAGTGCATCTGAACAGCATTTGAAAAAAGCTGATTATCAATTAGTAGTATTATTCTGCTTCTTCCATTTTTAGGGCTACCAGCAGGCAAAACCACAGTGAGTGAAATAGCATCAAGCAAATCTGCACACCAAGGCAAGAAGAAATTGAGGAAGAGTTATTTCAAGTATTACTTAATCACAACAAACCAATAATTTAACCCTGAGCTACATACATTCTCCACTATTATGTTTAAGAATTCATTAATTAAGATGCTGGATCTGCAAAAGAAATTCAGATCTTGGAATCAATACAAACTGATTATATACTTTGTGCATTTGTGTCCCTTTCTAATGCAAAATGTTTGCACTGCACATGCTTCTTTTATTAAGGAAACATTGGGGTTCTTGTTCTGGATGGTAATTTCTTTCTTTTCTACATCTGCTTTTCAATGGAACAATTCCCACTGTAGCGGTCTATGGCTCTGAAGCCAATTTTCAAGATGCATAATGATCATTCTAGCCATTGCCAATACTGGAAATGACTTTTGTCTCTCATATTATTTCTTGTTGCATTTGTTCTAACCTGCTTCTGTTGGTTTTCAAAAGAAATCTAACATTTTCATACATCTTTTATGCTTGTGATTACACTTTACACTTTGATCCTGGCCTCCCTTACTGAAAGCATTACAAGCAGCTCCTTCTAAAGTCTTTTCTTCTATCCCAGAGCTGCTTCAAAGAGTTACCAGGAAATATAATGTTTAATGGAACAGAAGTATACCATGAAATGCAGGTGGAATTGTTGTATTTTTTTCCTTATCTGATACAGTGCTTTTCAGAATAGCCCTGGGTTTTCAAGCCCTGAGATCTGGGTCATAAGGTGACATGGATCCCATTTACCTGATTCAAACACTTATCATGGTAACTTTTCATAACAGAAATTATAAGACTGTTCAGAGCACCTGAAGGCAGGACAAAAGCAATGGATGGAAACTAATCAAATAGAGAACCAACCTAGAACTAAGAAGAAATTTCCTGACAATTAAAACATTTAGTCAGCGGAACAATTTGCCTCCAGAAGCTGTGAGTGCTCCAATATTGGAGACTTTTAAGAAGAGACTGGACAACCATTTGCCTGAAATGACTATAGGTTTCTTACTTGAGCAGGGATTGGACTAGCAGATCTCAGAAGTCCCTTATAACTCTGTTATTCTGTTCCTTATTTAATAAAGCAAAAGGGGGGAAATGGTTCTAGCTCTGTTTTCTGTTTCTGAAACTTTCTAGAATTACTGTATGACACTAAGATGTTGAAAAGACTGTGTCTTTATATAATTAAAGATTAAATATTCCATATCCCCCTGCCTCACATTTAGGTTCCTGAAGAATCTGCCAGCAGTTTCTCACTTTTAAGAGGTAAGAATAATGGACGTTTATGGGCACTGCTTTTTGGTTGCTGTACCTGCTCTTTGGAATATCCTTCTCCCCGTTATTCAATTAGCTCAGCTTCTGTTAGCTTTTTAGACATTACTGAAAATAGAGTTATCTAGGAAAGCTTTTCAAGAGTGCATGGGTTGCAAATTTACAAATAAACAAAACAAATATAAGTACTAAAACAAATTTTAATGTAGAGTAAAGCTCTTGGATTCATTGAATCAGTTGTGTCATACCCACAAAAAAGATAAATTGAAAGAAACTGAAATTAAAAGGTTCTCAATCCTTCCATCATATTATTTAGGATTTACTAGCTTCTGTTAGTAAGTGTGAATTGTTCATCAAGAACAGGAATAATATTTAAAGTACAACATTCTTGGGGGCAAGAAACCCACAAAGCAGGGGTTTTTAAGGAGGTTCTAGTGCAGATTGGCCAGTGGCCTGCCAGCTCACTACAGCTGACTTTTTATCCTGATCTAGATCTGCTGCCTATATGTGAAGTTGCCCTGATGACAAGAAGCAATGCACAAAACTGATTTATAAATTAACTATTATTTGACACGGTCTTTTTTGCCACTGTCACTTTTGGGAGTACCAGCATTGGTTGGTAACAGCTGAGGACTCTTCAAGCCCAAGAAACTGAAATAATCTGATAAAAGATGGACATCAGACTGACAGAAAATCAGAACCAGACAGGTTTCACAGAATTTCTCTTAATTGGTTTCTCTACTGACCCAAACAACCAGACTCCTCTCTTTATTATAGGTCTGTTTCTCTATTTGCTTACTTTAACTGGTAATCTAACCATCATTACATTGATTAGGATAGATCAGCATCTCCAAACTCCAATGTACTTCCTCCTTGGCAATCTCTCTTTTGTTGAGATCTGCTACATTTCCACTACTCTTCCCAAAATGCTGTGGGATCTCTTGTTAGGGGACAAAACCATCTCCTACATAGGTTGTGCACTACAATTGTATTTCTTTGGTGCATTAGGGGCCACAGAATGTGTCCTTCTCTCAGCCATGGCATATGATCGTTATGTAGCTATCTGCCACCCCTTGCACTACACTATTCTAGTCAACCAAACAATACGTCTACGTTTGCTGGCAGCCTCCTGGAGTATTGGCTTTTTGAATTCTACTATTACTGTATCCATGGTCTTTTCCCTACATTTCTGCCATTCCAATAAAATCAAACACTTTTTTTGTGACATTCCTCCCTTACTACGCTTATCTTGCTCTGACATCTTCATCAGCCAGATGGTGACTTTCACCTTGTCTGGGGGCATTATGATTGTGTCATTCAGCCTGATCCTTCTTTCCTATATATTCATTGTCTCCTCTGTCTTCAAAATTCGCACTGCTCGTGGTCGGATGAAATCCTTTTCCACCTGTGGATCACATCTCACTGTGGTAAGCATATTTTATGGCACCATCATCTACACCTATATACGTCCTTCCTCTGCTCACTCTATAGAAGAAGGCCCCCTTGTTTCAGTACTATATGCCATCATTACACCACTGCTTAACCCCCTGATCTATAGCTTACGAAACAAGGAAGTGCAGGGGGCTCTTTGGAAAGCTCTTGGAAAGATCAAATTATAATTGGAAGTTTTTATAGCTGAATCAAGACCCATACAAAATCATTAAAGTAGTTTATGTAAAGAAAAATCATTTTACCTTTAATTATTTTGTAATAATGCAGTTTAATAAAAGAAAATAACTTCACAATAGGTGCCATATGGTTTTTATTGTTACACCTAATGGGAGTGACATTTGCCTTTTTCAACTATTTCCATCTCTTTTGCAGATTCTCCTGCCCAACACACACACACAAATCTTGATGGAATTTATGGTATATGATAGTATGTAGTCTATATTCATCTTTCATTTCTACTGGCATATTGAATTTTCATCAATGTGTGTGTGTTGTGTGTGTGTATGCATATGTTTGTGTATATATGTGTGTGTGTATGTATATGTATATGTATATATATGATGTTTGCGTGAACATCAAGAACCCAACTAATGAATGTTATATTTTATGCTTTTTTGGAGAGAAAATGTGTCATCGCTTTGGGAGTGAAGCACTTTGCTATTGTGCATTGCTAAATTTCCAAGATCTGACATTTTTCCCTATTTATTAGAATTTTTGATCTCCTCCCCATGCAGGCCGTACAAACCAATTGACAACACAGTGAAATCTGATGCTGTTTTCTTATTCTGACACATGAACAAATGATCTGAAAGTGCCCCAACTGGACTGAATATTGGTTATTTGCCCCAATCCAAGTTTGTATGCTACTGAGCTGGTATGTATGAGTTAGCAAATAAAATAAAAATAAAATGTAGAGATTAGGTTCAAACATGGAGTTTTGATCTAGCTATGATTTTAGTAGACAGATGAGACAAGGGAGGAGAGAAGATCTGGTAACTAGCAATGGTTGTTGTGGAGCAAAATGCAGTTAGCATTTTGACTGGTCAAACCTTGCATGCAGGGGCTTGGGCTTAAAGGCTTGAGAGAAAGCTCCTTTCCTCAGTTGCTAAGGGTCATGCTGCTGGTTTAAACTGTAAAAGCAGAAAGTAAGAAATAGATAAAAGACAAAGAGAGGTTGCCATATTTTTTTTTTCCTAGCTGTTTTGAGACATCAAGTAAATGTCTTTGGACTGATTGTGGGAATTTGGTGGTTGGAAAAAGATATCACTGTGGTTGTGCTGGCAATTGCATAAGAGCACCAGCCTGCCTACCATCCCTGTCCTAATGTTCCCTTTAATTGTATCCATTTTATGTATTAAATTCATGCTTATACTTAAATATATTATCTAATATGTACTCAACAAAATAAAAATAAATAAATAAAAATAAAATTATGGAAGTGCACATTTCTGATGCCAGTGGGAGAAGAGGATGAAGACATCAGCTTCAGGCTTTTCCAGGAGAAGATAAATGAAAACCTAGAAATAGGGGCATGTTTTACCCCAAACTCAACGCATACATGCATAGAGGGAGGCAGTTCCCTGCAGATTGAAGCATGAGGCCTTCAGGGAAGACATACACTGGATAGTACTTAGCAGGAGACACAGGAGAAGATACATCACACCACATCTGCCCAGAGGGGCAGCTGAGAGGCAGGTCAAAAAAGAGTTGAAGATAGGTTTTTGGCACACACAAAGAAACCTTAGCAAATACCTTCCTATTACTTTCTCAGTAAAAAGCACAGATGGAAAAAGAAGAGGAAAGAGAGGATAGCAGGTGGTTGCCAACAAATAGCTCTGGGAAAGGATGAAAGTAGACAGGAAAGTTGGACATTTTGCTGTAAGCAGTTCTGCTTTTTCACCAATTCCCATAAATATAGCTGTGCATAGTAAAAAGAAAGAGAGTACCTCTACTATCTCATTCAAGCAATTATTCTACAGTACTTAACATATGCATGTATCACAGCTATAAAAGACAATTATGTCTGTGACATTTATCTATTTTGGAAAGAAAGACAACATTTGAAACTATTTGAAAAAAGTCTCAGCTTTCAGACTGAGTGTTAGGTTTTCATACTAGCAGTATTATAGAATGGATATGGATGTCACTACTGTGACAATTAGTATAATATAGTAATAATATAATATAGGATAGGATAGGATAGGATAGGATAGGATAGGATAGGACAGGACAGGAACAGAACAGAACAGAACAGAACAGAACAGAACAGAACAGAACAGAATAGAATAGAATAGAATAGAATAGAATAGAATAGAATTCTTTATTGGCTAAGTGTGATTGGACACACAAGAAATTTGTCTTTGGTACATATGCTCTCAGTGAACATAAAGAAAAAATAAAACATATTCATCAAGAATCATAAGATATAACACTTAGTGATAGTCATAGGGTACTAATAAGCAATCAAATAATACTAGGAAACAATAAAAATAATATAAGCTGTAAAGATACAAGCAACATGGATATAGCCATAAGTGGGAAGAGATAGGTACTAATAAGGAAGAGAAGAACTACACTTAGTAGTTAATTTGACAGTGTTGTGGGTAAATTAGTTGTTTAGCAGAGTGATGGCATTTGGGAAAAAACTGTCCTTGTGTCTTGCTGTTCTGGTGTGCTTTGTTTTGAGGGAAGAAGTTAAAACAATTTATGTCCAGGATGTGAGGGGTCTGTAGATATTTTCAAAGGCCTCTTTTTGACTTGTGCAGTATACAGGTCCTTAATAGAAGGCAGGTCGGTAGCAATTATTTTTTCTGCAGTTCTAATTATCCATTGAAGTCTGTGTCTGTCTTGTTTGATTGCCAAACAAGACAGTTATAGAGGTGCAGATGACAGATTCAATAATTCCTCTGTAGAACTGAATCAGCACTCTTTGGCAGTTTGAGCTTTCTGAATTGGCCCAGAAAGAACATTCTTTGTTGTGCTTTTTTGATGATATTTTTGACATTATATATCTCATTTTAAATTTTGAGATATGATAGAACCTAGAAACTTGAAGGACTCTAGTGTTGATACTGTGTTGTCTGGTATTGTAAGAGGTGAAGGGAGAGATATAAAGTCTACCTGTATTGGTAATGAATAAAAACAATGGCAGATTATCTTTATAATTTGGCAGTGTTCATGGTTATGACAAAATCATTACTTTGATTCAGCATGATCCCATGGAGGGGTTAAAAAAAAAAGCAAAAGGGCAGAAATGGTGTCATGATGCAAGCCACAATTTGCATTGCAAGGCAATTTCTTGCTTGTTGACATCCCATCATATGCTACAGAAGCTGCTGTCCTGATATGGAAAACTAAGTTAATATTTTTAGAAGGGCACAAATCTATAAAAAATATTCCTTAAAAAAAAGTGATAAGAAGAAACCCCAACTTTGATATCAAGAACTGAAATCACTTAGGAGACCTGTATATACCATTCCTGACTATGTACACATACTCAAACAAACAAGCATAAATCTTTGGGTAACTCAGAAACCTTGCCAATCTTTGGGTAACTCAGAAACCTTTTCCATGTCACTAGCCTTAAATATCTTTTGCACACAATTATCCAATAAAGTAATTGATTCTTTTTTGATTGCCCCACATTACATTTATTTATTGATAAAATTTATTGGTCACCCATTTTACCATATAATAACTCTGGACGGCTTACAGTTACATATACAGTTAAAGCATAAAAAGTTAAAATCAGATATTAAAACCCACGTTTGATTTAAAACCTATTTCCCTTAAACATTAATTAGCTACATTAATTTGTTCCTGATACAATTTCATATTTCCAAAACGTCTTTAGGAAGTCAACTGTGAAACTACAAACAATGAAAATAATTTATTGAAAGATATCTTTGTAATGCCAATAGAACTGATGCTATAGGAGCCCCAATATTGTAAAACATTTACTTTGGCAGATGCAACAGATCATAATTTATAATATATCAAATGAACCAAAAATATACATTCAATGGGAAATGCCTAATCAGTTAACCTAAGATGAATTTCAAAATTAACATGACAAACAAATTGGTACGTCAAAGGGGAATTAACATTGTTTGCTAAATAATCTCCAGCCAAGCAATTTCAAAAAGGCAGCTTTTACATCTTTGTTCCTCATGCTGTAGATTATTGGATTCATTAGTGAAGGCACCATAGTATATAGTGTAGTAAATACTTGATCCAGTCTAGATGGAGATTTGGCAGGTAATATCAGGTGAGCCAAGAGGCTACTACCAATGAATAGGGAAACTACAATGAGGTGGGGGATGCAAGTGGAGAAGGCCTTTTCCTTTTTCTCAACTGAAGGCATTCTCAGCACAGTGGAAAAAATCTGCACATAGCTCAAGATAATGAATGAGAGACAGCCTACTCCTAAGCATGAACTAAAGACAAGTACCCAGGTTTCTCTGAGATAAGAATCAGAGCAAAAGAGCTTGATTAACTGAGGAACTTCACAGAAGAACTGATTGATAATATTGGAGCAGAAAAGCATTGAAAAAATATTCCATGTGTGTAAAGCTGAATGCAGAAATCCAAGCACCCAGGCTCCTCCTGCCATTTGGAAGCAAGTGGACCATTTCATTATGGATGCAAAGTGTAATGGGTGACAGATGGCAATGTATCTGTCATAAGCCATGATAGTGAGAAAGAATAAATTTGATGATAGGAAAGAAACATAGAAAAACAATTGTGTCATACATTCAAAATACAAAATCAATTTGGAATTCATGAAGGTATTAACAATAGATTTGGGTATAATGGCAGAGGTGACACCAAGATCACCAATAGCTAAATTGATCAAAAAGAAATACATTGGGGTACGCAGGTAGCGATTGAACAGTATCAAAAAAATAATCAGAAGATTTCCCACCAGGACAAAGAGATATGTTATCAAGAAGACAATGCTGTGTAAAATTTGAGCCTCTTGATTTCCAGAAAATCCAGCAAGTACAAAATTTGATATGCTTGTAGTGTTAGACATGACATTATGCCATCCCTGTAGAAAGATAAAAACTAAATTACATACAGATTTCTTTCATATTACAAAAAACTAATTCCAACTAAAAGGAACAATAAGAGCTTTTTATTCTATATGTACTTTGTTCTAATATGCTTAAAGTACAGTATGTGCTTTGGGAAGATATAACTATAAAAATGGCTTACACCATTTTGAAATTAATGTATTTTTTAATTTTTATTTTAACTCCATAAACCCACACTCGCCTTACCTTTTCTTTTACTCCATTATGTGTGAGAATTCTTTTATCATTGATCCCCCAAATTTTGATCTGTTCCCTCATATTTTCTTTCGTCAGGTGGACAAGGAGAGCATATCATATAAATGTTATATGTGTTCAGTGTTTAATTGCACATCACTGCAAGAGCCATCTTCACAAGAATTTAACAATGCAAATTTAAGCAGATCTCTCATCTCCTGGGGTGGGGTAGACTGTTTTTTTCAGACTTATATAAACAACTACCATCATGATAACTGGCAAAACAAATTCAATAGCCTAATACAAATAAGATTAAAAATAGCAGGGGACTGTAAGTACACTTTTAAAATCATATGTATGAAGAAAGCTATGCTGATGAGAAAAACTGTTACTTTAAAAAATATTCAAAGCAATAGAATGAAGGATTAGAAAGTTTTAAAATGAAAAACATGGTTTTAGGCTGTAGCTTGAATATTTATATTTTGATTCTTCCTTAAACTGAATCAAATTGATGCATACAAAATAGTAGATTTATTTCTAGTTTTCTTGCATGCTCCATATTTCCTCCTTCAGCCTTCACTCAACAAAGTATAAGCAACACATTTCTTATTATGGACTCAATGTGATTCCATAGACGTACACTTAGGAAAGCTGATTTTGAGCAGGAGTGAATGATAGACATATTATGGCTACCTGGATGACCTTGACATCCAGATATTTTCTCTCATTTCTCCAAGTACCCTCACACTAATAGACCACAGTTAAAACCAAAAGAGAGCAAAAGAGTTGTGTTTTCTAACTATAACACACCATCTTCAGAATTTGTACTCTAAGGTTACCTTTGATGTCTATACTAGAGTTGGTTTGATGAAACAACATATCAGCTGAAATAAATAAATACAGAACTGTTGTCTATGTTATCATGTCACAAATTTCATGAGACAATGTAAAGCAACCTCAACTCTCATATGGAATAATGAGGAAAGCTAATGGCATCTGTGCAGAAGGGAATGATCACACAAAGCAGTTTGGGTGAGGATGATGTAATTATTCAACTTAATTGCCAAGGGCATTGTGTTTGCCTACGTTGTAAGGAAATACATAGATGCACAGAAGTTCACTGACCATTATTATCATCCATGACTGAGCATAAGTCTGTATTTTCAATATCCATTACAGTTTAATCAGATATCAGGATTAGAATTGGCCTCTATGTAGCTTCTGCTGCTTTTCAAAAGGATGCCCAATTTTTTCTTAATTAGGAAATGTACAATTTATTTTCTCCTGGATTATATAGATTTGGGGGGGGGCACTATTAATAAATTATTTGTATTTATTAAAAACAGAACCAAAAACAGGAAGTTTATTAGTCCCTAACCAGAAAATAAACAAAATCAAGGTATCTATTATTGTGACATTTATCTGAAAATTTGCCAAAAATTTACTGAAGAAATTGCACCGGAAAGAGCTAAAAATTTGTTCCATCTCAAACAGCTCCTACCGGTTCCCATCTTTAAACTCCAAATCTTGTGAAGCTTCTTCTCCAGTAACATTGTACTGCAAACTAGGGCATATAAAACATTTGCTAGACCAATTCTCAAATACAGATCATCTGCCTGGAATCCACACTGTTTATCACACATTAATACAATTGAGCGCGTCCAGAGATATTTCATGAGAAGAGTACTCCACTCCTCTACTCACAACAGAATACCTTATGCCACCAGGCTTGAAATTTTGGGCTTGGACAACCTAGAACTACACCGTCTATGGTCTGACCTAAGCGTAGTACACAAAATTATCTGCTACAACGTCCTATCTGTCAATGACTACTTCAGTTTCAACTGCAATAATACAGGAGCACACACCACTCCAAACTCAACTGCAGAAAATACGACTTCAGCAACAGAGTGAGCAATGTCTGGAATGCACTACCTGACTCTGTTGTTACATCCTCAAACCCTCATAACTTTAACTTTAAACTGTCTACTGTTGACCTCACCCAGGGGTGAAATGCTCCTGGTTCGGATCGGCTTGGGTGAGTAGGTAGCGATGGTGGTGGGCAGTTCAGAGAACTGGTAGCAAAAATCCCTGCCCCCACCCACCATACCCAGCTGAGCCATGCAATCATCAGAGCCTTTTTTTTCTTTTAAATGGCTCTGACCAGCCAAGCTCTGACGATCCCAGCTGAGTTGCCTGCTAATCAGGCAACTCAGCTTGGATTGCCAGAGCCATGTAAAAGAAAAAAACTTTTTTTCTTTTAAATAGCTCGTAGCAAAAATCCCTCCCCCTCCTTCCCCTCAGCTTGCTTACTTTACCTGCTGGTCGCAACGCCTTGCTGTAATCCCTGCAATCCATTGCATCAGCAAGCAACTGAATCTCCCTGCCTGCAATCAAGCAGGCAGTGAGTTGTGGACTTCAACTCCCCGAATTCCTCAGCCAGCAAAGCAAAGCTGGCTGAGGAATTCTGGGAGTTGAAGTCTACAAGTCTTAAAGTTGCCAAGGTTGGCGACCCCTGTTCTATTGGGTAAGTTTTTTTCCCCTTTGGGAGCTTTAAAAAAAAAATAGTTAATTGGGGATTTTTTTAGTTATTCTTTTTTTAGACCTAGCCATTTAAAGTTTAGGAAGCTTTAAATTTAGCTGCTTTTATATAAAAATAAAAATAAATTAAAATAAAATAATATTTGTGCAGCTTTCTGAGATTTAGTGTGTTTCTGTAGTGTTTCACTCTAACTACACAAACACACAAAATCTCACAAAGCTGTATGTGGAATTTTGTGTGTGTAAAGTGTGAAAGTTG